TAATGGGTTGGTTTTCTTTTATGATTATAGAACTATTTGTTATTTTATGGTTATGTCACTCATCAATTTTTCTCTTTCTTTCTAAACCATAATCTACCTGCTTCTAAAAATACCTGATGCATACTCTTCCATACATGCCCAGAACCTTTTAAATGATAAAAGGATGGATCTAGTTTATATTTGTACAAAGGGAACTGTAAGTTCTTGGTTCCTCATTTATGTATGCTGGAGGAGAGTCAGGATAATGTCTGAAACTTGCTTTGAGCATAGAAAATTCAGGTTGAAAAGGACCTGAAAGGCGGTCCAGTTTAACCGCCTATTTGATGTTTGAATCTGCTCAGGGACAGCCTGAAGACTGGGTTCCGCTCATTCTCAGGACCCTGCCGTGACAGCATAACTGACCACGAGGCACCCTACTGCCCTCTCCCATGGCTTGCCTACTGCTATTTCGTCCCTAAATGGGTGAGAATGCCTGAGATTTCTCCCTGGCATTCTCACCCATTGGTCTTTGTCCAATCAGCCCTCCTGGGGTCTTATAGAATACACAGGCCTAATTCTTTCCCCCCTGACTACACCATTATCCAGTTTTATCCATTATCTAGGTTTTCTAGGTTAAACGTTCTTGGTTTCGTCAGTCATTTTTCATGCCACTTTGGTTTCTAATTCTAAAATTTATATGAACAATTTTAGAAAAATAGAATAACTAGGAGGGACTTGCCCTACCAGATATCAAGGCCCTTTATAAAGCTATAGCAATTAGGACTTTTAGGATTATATTCTCTAATTCTATTTTTAAAACAACCTTGTTGCCATTTTAATTACATTTGCATTAAATGTATGATTGATTTGGGAACTGACAGCAACTTTACAATACAGCATTTCCCGCCCATGAATGAATGCTGCCTTTTGTCTGGAGTTTTAAAATGTCCTCTGCTAACATTTCATATTTTTTCCAAAAAGTTTTTGTACATCTTGTGGATTTGTTACTGGGTACCTTTAGCTTTCTTTTTCCATTATAAGTAGAATTTTAAAAAGTCATTGTTTCCCATTTATTGTTCCTGCTGTATAATACTAATGCTAGTGATTTCTGATGTGGATTTTATACCCAAAAAATCTTGCTGAATTCTCATATTGATGTTAACAGTCAAGGATAAATTTTATTTAAGTCATGATTTATTGTTGTCATTACATTCTGAGGTATCTGATTTGCTCATGGTTTATATAGGATATTCATGTCTTCACTGAGATGGGTCTGTAAGTGTCCTTTTTGTACTGATACTGTTCAGCTTTGATGTTAAGGTTCATGTGGTAGGTACTACTCACTGCCTTCCCAGCTGTCACCATCCATTTCATCCCCTTCCCCAGAAGCACGTCATGTTTCTTGAACATCTGGTATTTCATTGGCTGGAACTAGGTGGTTTGGCCTCAACCTTGCGGCAAAGGTGGTCGGGAAGGTGGGTATCTGATGTTTTCAACCCATGAATTATTTGGGAATGCTTACATTTTCTAAATGATGAAAAAAACTCTTTGTTGTTGTTATCAATTTACTTTTGTAATCAGCCCAGAGGATCTCCATGATAGTGATTTTCTGGTATTTGTTGAGATAGACTTCTGGCCTGGTTTGTAGTCAGGTTTTGTACATTTTCGTGTGTGTTTGAAAAGCATACTGGTTCCAGGACGTAGTAATGTCCACTGGATCAAGCTTGCCATTCTGTTGTTTATATTCTCTCTGTGTCTCAGTCTGTTAAACTGATATTATGTTAAAATCCCCCACTATAACTTTAGGCTACTTATGACTTTGTCAGTGCTGCCATATATTTGTTGCTCTAGGTTGAGGTTTAGGATTTAGTTCACATACCTTTATTGTGCCCACTGATGTATTTTGATTTATCTTATCATCAAAATTTGTTTTCTAGTTATGCTTTTTGCAGGATTCTCTTTGTTCTTCCTCTGCCTTCTCTTGAATTGATCAAGTTTTCTTTTGGAAGTTAAATACTTACAAGTATATACCTGCTCCTTCAGAGGTCACCTTTACATTTTGAATATGCACACTTGCCTTTCAAAAGTTTAAATGAATCAACATTTCCCTCTTCTTCCTAAATAATATTTGCAACTTAAGAGTGTTTTTACTATAATTACTATCCTCTCATCTTCTATTACTGTCTATTATTTAAATTCCATGAACATACCCACAATTATTCATCATTAATATTTTTAAAACATTCTATGCTCATTCAGATTTGCCCAGATGTTTACCAACTTCTTGTTGATTATTACTTCTAGACCCTCCCCTCTTCCTTCTTGGATTCAAGTTCCTTTTATTTCAAGTACATCCTTTAGTAGTTCTTTCAGTATGAGTCCCTGTAACCTCTCTGTCTTTCATTGTAAAAAATAATTTAGAAAATATTTTTTATTGATTTCAGAGAGGAAGGGAGAGGGAGATAGAAACATCAATGAAGAGAGACTCATTGATTGGCTGCCTCCTGCATGCCCCACACTGGGGATCAAGCCCAAAACCCGGGCATGTGCCCTGACTGGGAATGGAACTGTGACCTCCTGGTTCATAGGTCACTGCTCAATCACTGAATCACATCACCCGGGCTCAAAAATTATTTTTATGCACAAGTCTCAGTTCCACCTCCCATTTGCATAAGTCAAGGCCATATATCTGTCCCCTATGGGTGTGGCACCTCTCAGATGTCAGGCCTCACTTAGTTCTGACTGCCTCCGGCTTCCTTAGCATTCACTCATCTGCTTTCCGTTCTGGTTTGAGTTTCCTCTTTATTTCTCGTACCTGAGGATTTCCCTTTCTTTGTTTGGAACTCCGCTTTATATTGTTATATTTCATCCTGTGTTTGTCATAGGAGGTGGGGGGAAGGTCCACATTAATCTTTTTGGTACTTATTCCTGGAAATCCAGATATTCTATTTATAACAAATTTCCCTCTTACTGCTGTTTATTATTCTCCTTTAAAATAAATACCATATTTTTGATAGAGAAAACAGACATGACAGAGACAGCTTGTTCTGTCAGACATGACAGATACTTCTTGTTCTGTTTTAGGAAAAGTCAAGTTTTCTAAAATTTCTTCTAGAATCTGGTAAATACAGAACATTCCCCAGGTAATAACTGTACCTGTTTTCTTACATCTCCCTTACTTCTCTTTGCTATACAGAGATGATCTGGGCTCTACATTTGAATTATATCGTCTGCACTAACAAGCCAAAGCAGCATGTTTAAAAACCTCTCTCTGTAAGGAAGCCATCCGCAGGAGAGACCCAGGGCTCAGCTACTCCTGCAAATCAACAGCTGGCTAGAGGCTGAACTGGTTCCAAACCCTGGGAATTCACAGCTCCAAGGAGATGAATGGGACCAATCTAATTTGCATTTCATCGTGACTCAGGAAATCCCTGGTACTGCATCCTCAAGCAGATTAAAACATGTTGGTTTAGCTCTAGCTGGTATGGCTCAGTGAATAGAGGGCTGGCCTGTGGACTGAAGGGTCCCAGGTTCGATTCCAGTCAAGGGCATGTACCTCAGATGCAGGTTCAATCTCCTCTCATATCAATGTTTCTCTCTCTCCCTCCCTTCCACTCTTTAAAAATCAATGGAAAAATATCTTCGTGTGGCCCGATCACACAGCAGGTCGTGGTTCGATTCCTGGCCTAGGTTGCGGGCTCGGTCCCCAGTAGTGGGTGTGCAGGGGGCAGCCAAGCAATGATTCTCTCTCATCACCAATGTTTCTATCTCTCTCCCTTTCCTCTCCTCTCTGGAATCAATAAAATATATTTTTTAAAAATATCCTTGGGTGAGGATTAACAACAAAAACAAAACAAAAAAAAGAACACATGTTGGTTTAAGCAGCCCAAGGCTTCACTGAGAGATTTCCACACATCTAGTGACAGGACCCAAACTCTCCACGAAGAAGGAACAGTCCACTTCAACCTGTCGGAGCGTGGAGGCCATGTGGGATCCAAATACGGCTTGAACGATGGTCAAAGCACAGACAATGGTTCAGGGAATAAACCGGGGGCAACATCCAGCTATTGTGTCAGAAATGCTTTCTGAATAATCACACGTGGGCCAATTGGAGAAGCTGCACGTGGGCATAAAGAGTATTCATGGGATAAAGCGTATTCATGGAAATGACAGCTAGGCCCAGACTGGTCACACACTGGTTCACTAGAGTCAACCCTTACTTTCCATAAAATATATTCCATCTGGCATGTGACTACAAATTTCTGACCCAGGGAAAAAGGGAAAGGAAGAAAATCGGCTGAAGTGGAGATGATTTTCATGGGGAGAAAATCAAACAAGCACTGATGATCAATTATGCCATGAGTGATAAGAAAATAGCAAGAGATTAAAGACTATATTTTGCAAAGCGGAAATGGTAGTCCTGATGAGTACTGCTTTATCATCCTCAAGTCTTTCCCCATCCGAAGCAGAGGTGGCCACCTCCTCCTTGGGAAGGATGGGTCCACCCAAGAAATGGAAACCACTTGAGCACTGCATAGCACACACTGGCCACAGGGGACCGTTCGTTTGGTCAATTCCCTTGCAGACACCTGAGTGATCACCTGGCAGGAAGTGGGAATCTTACCACGCCAAGACCCCAATGGTACACGGCCACCTTCAACACTTCTCTACATGCCATTGCAGGCAAAGCCAACTTCTACTGCTGCTAACTCTGAACCAAAGGAGAAGACAAAGCCCTTTCATCCTTAAGATCAGATTTCACCCTAACCTGTCCCTTAAAGCGTGGGGAAGGTAAGAGGAACGCTCCTCTTGATGAAATGCAGTTGAGAACTATTTTGCAGAACACAGGGGATTCTGTTGTTGGAAACAACTAGATTGGTGGATGCAGAGAGCTGACCTAATGACTTTCAAGCTGCCTTTTTATCCCACCTCGACCTCGACCTCAGGTGCTACGGGGCCAAGTGAGAGGGGCTCCTGTGTGGTGAGGGCCCAGAGGCAGGACACCAGCTGCCACCACTCACCTGTTGAGATACACACGCTTCTCGGTGAACTGCCCGTTGCCGTGGTTAGGGTCCTCGAAGGGCTCATTCTGGACGACTTCTACGCCTTCCCCTCGGTCACTCTGCTCATGGCTGTGCTTGCTGATCATGTACAGCTGTCCGATTTTGTACTGCAAAACACAGAGACGGAGGTCAGCCTCACGCGCCCTTTGAAAACATTCCCCCTTCCCCATAAAACAACTAACAGCACTTTTGCTCAGGAAAGAGAGCAGACACATGGGCCTGGTGTTCCTTCTCCTGGGGAACGAGGAGAGCAAGTGGTGAGCAGAAGGCGGAAACGACATGTTCCTGTGAACATTCTGCATCACATTGGCAATCACCTTGGGGTTGGCAGCCCACCAAGCCACGGGTAGCAGCAGGGAGGCGAGGGCACGGGAATCTCCCTTCCCATCGGGTCCTGCAGGGTTAAGTGGAACTAAAATCCTATTTTTCTTAGCAAAATACAGGCCAGGGTGTGTTCCGTCTGTCCCTTCTTTTTGCCTAATTACCTGCATTGCCGGGCACAAGAGGATTAGATGTCACCTGTCTCCTCCATCACCTCCTATCAAGGGTTCAAACTCTCCTGGAGGGCTCTGCCCCCTGGAACAGCAGTTCTCAAAGGTGGCTGGACATTAGAAGCACCTGGAAGCTCTTAAAAACTCCAGCTGCCCAGGCCCCCCAGAGTGAAACCTGTGTTCCAAAGGCCGATCCCCAGTGAGGAAAATTACGTATCTTTAACTACTTTTATCCAATTCCAATAACAGTGTGGAGCCTTCCAGCCTGGGGTCCCAGAAGCCACCTGTGCTTACGTGAAAATGATAATATGGAATAACATAGAATATGGACAATTTCTCTTCTGTCCTTTTTTTCAAACTGTTCCACTCTCCTTCCTGCCTCTCTGACAATCCTGTGGCTGGCAGGCATTTCTTCACCCAGTGAACTTCCAGGGTGGCAAAACTAATCTGATGGAGAAAAAAAAGAGATAGAGCCTGGCTGGCATGGCTCAGTGGTTAAGCATCGACCTATGAACCAGGAGGTCACAGTTCGATTTCCCAATCAGGGTACATGGCCGGGTTGCAGGCTTAATCTCCAGTGGGAGACATGCAGGAGGCAGCCGATCGATGATTCTCTCTCATCATTGATGTTTCTGTCTCTCTCTCTCTCCCCCTCTCTCCCTTTCCCTTCCTCTCTGAAATCAATGAAGATATATTTTTAAAAATAGAAAAAAAAGAGATAGAGAGGAAGGAGGGAATTAAGAGTCAGGAGACAGGACAATGCCACCTGCTGTGGTCCTTTGGGGTGAAACAACACACAGTAGTTGGGATGGGATGAGGGAAAGGGTCCTGTGTCTGCAGTAAGCTAGTAACAGTTCTGGGTTGATCCCAGGCCAGCAAGGATGCAGGTCTCCTGTCTACATGCATGAGAGAGAAAGAGATTTTAAATTATGGAGGCAGGTGAAATGTACAAGTCAGCAGGGCAATCGGTTCCAAAGCCAAGAGATCCCACTCTCACTCTGAGGCAGGTGCAGGGAGGGGAGTGTGAAGAGAATCTGAAAGGCCTTGGTCTGAGGCCAGCCCGAGGGACCAGGCCCAGTAACCATGACAATGAGAGCAGAAGGCAGCTGGTCTTCTCAAAGGGCAGTGCTCCCTGTCTGTGCCACGCCCCTTCCTAGGATGGTCGGCATTTAAAATGCCCTTTAAAAAGAAATGTTTTTTAGTGAATTTGTTGCGGTGACATTGGTTGATAACATTATATGGGTTTCAAGTGTACGATTCTATCATACATCATTTGTATAGTGTATTGTGTGTTCACTACCCCAAGTCAAGTCTCCTCCCGTCACCATTTAGCTTCCCCCCTCCCTTTACCTTCTTCTATTAAAATACTTTTAACAGGAGTGTATGTGTTCTTGGGAGGAGAGATAGCTGTGAGGATAAAAGCAGCAAGAGGAGAGAGAAAAATCAAAGGTAAAATCTATTTTTAAAACAATTTCTGGGATCAGAAACATGACTTGGCTTCCCCTTAATAAGTCCTTACTTTTACTTTTGCTCACAAAGACGAACACTCTTTTGAGGAGGAAGACAGTAAGAAAAAGCGTACAGAGTAAGATCTGTGCGCTTTACCCTTGAGATCAACAATCCACCTTATGCAGAGGGGAACACAAGCCCATAACAGAATAATTCACTGCTCAGGGAGCAAAGATTTCACTGGCCGTTGCTATGTACTCGGTGTTCAAAAAAGAAGTATTAACCTACAGTGGAATATTATTCAGCTAAAAAAGGAATGAGGACTTCAGAGTAGGCACTAATCCAAAGGGACTCATGTCCTTATACAAAAGGGTAAGTTGAACACAGACACACATAGAAAGATGAGGTGAATCACTGCAGGGAGAAGACGGCCGTCTGCTAGGAACCTACCTCTCCTGCTGACACCTTGATCTTGGACTGCCAGCATCCATGACTGTGAGACCGTAAGATTCTGGTTGAAGCCACCCAACGTGTGGTGCTTTGTTACAGCAGCCCTAGCAACTAATACAGTGGGTGCGAGATGAGGTTCCCTTTAGGATGATGAAAGTGTTTTGGATCTGGATGGAGGTGGTCACTGCACATTGTTATAGACTAGATGCCACTGAATTGGCTTTGAAATGATTAACTTTATGTTATGTGATTTTTCACCTTAATTTTTTTTTTTAAGTGTTGACTCTGCTTCTGAAGTAGTTACCCCCTAAACCAAAATTCTGTCGAGGACTTTAGTGGGGGATTTGGCAGAAGGGACATGTCTACCATTGGATGGTCTTCAGGAGCTCCAACCCACTCACATATGAAAAATAAACAGGATCAAGGACAATGCATGACACAGAAAAGCCATCAGCCTGACTCTGCTCAGCTCAAGTGCCTCCTGCTCCGAGGAGAAGGGACTGGGCCTCTAGGCAGTAGCAGCTGATTCACGGCGCTCAGAGGAAGGCCCGGCTGCCTGGCTGTCCCGCTGCCTGGCTCATTGATCATTCCAGGGACTCCTGAATGAGCTGGTGCCCAGCAGACATCAGCCTTAGCTCACTAAGATAGAGTCAGGCTAGGGGTGACTGACTGACACTAGATGCAAAGATGTAGGTGACATTGAGGGGGTGGGGGGAAAAGGGAGGGTGGGGACACTCAAGCCCAGACACTGAGATGGTCAAGGGCTCAGCAGCAGTCACTTCTCTCCTTTCCAAGCAAATCAGGTCTGCTCGGCTGGTTGTGGCCATTGGAGCTGGGCCATCCAGAAGCAAAGGTTTTGCTGCTGTTTATAAACCACAGACACATGCATTTCTCAGTTAGGGGAAGAGGGCAAGACAAGAAGGTCCATGAATCACCTGCCTCAAAATCACCAAATACACTCCTAAAAATGCTAAATCCCAGGCCATTCCAGCCCTTTTACATTCAGACTCTAGGGGACAAGGAAGTTGGGAATCACACTCAAATGCACACTAAATGCTAGTGTGAGGGAGACAAAAGCACTCATTAGGACCTTGCTCAGCACAAAAGGGTGCCCAGGCATTTCTTGCAAAGCTCCATCCTAATTTAGTGAAAATACCACATCATTGACCACCAACTCCAAACAAACTCATATGTCAAATGCACACAGCCAAATCCAAAGACTCAGCACTCCACAGACTTTGAAGCCAGATAATTGATGGTGACGATGTTGATGATAATAGTGATGGTGGTGGTGATGACGATGGAGTGACACAATACAGCTTAACTGATTTCCTGTAAGTTAGGTGCTTCGTGTTCATTTCTAAACAATGACTCATGCAGAGGGGTATTTTCAGACGAGGAAGCTGTCTCAGAGAGGTTAGAAACTCTCTTCAGGCCCCGAGCCTTCTCGGTGGTAGAGCTGGGATTTAACATCACAGGTCTGCACTCTTTCTTCTCCACCCAACTTCAGCCTTTATGTCTCTAACAGGTGAACTGCTTCAACAAATCAAAGCCTCACTGTGATTAAAGAGGGGAGGAGGGTTGTTCAGAGCCACTGTTACAGAAGATGAATAATAAAAGCCCGATATCATTTGAAAGATCAAAGTTGTTTAAACTGTGCTCACATATGAAATGGTGGAGCAATTATGCTCTAACTTGGTAAAATCTATTGTTATAATTCCAGAAGTTGGATAATCATCATTACAGGCAATCACAGTAGAGACAGCTCTGCACTGCAGGGCTGGGCCCCCATGTGAGCCATCGTCAGGATAGCTACCCCAAGTAATTATCTCTGTAGTTAAAAAGCATCATGGGGACTCAGATCTTTCCCACTTGCACACAGCACCACAAAATTTGAGAGGAGGAGGAGTTGCATAATGTACCTGGAAAAGCCGAGAGGTTTCAACAGTCTGCACTTTGAAAACTCTATGGCTGGGCATAATCATCCTAATACAGTTCAATCTCCAACTCTGATGTTACAAAAGGAGACCCCAAGATGAAGCTCCTGAGAATGGTAAAGAATTATTAATGGAGCACCAGTAACACCGTGAACATCACCCTTGCCAGAAGAACTACTGGACCCAAAGTTTTAGGCTCAACAGAACTCCTAAGGCTGATTTGCACTTAACTGCTCCCCAAAGCTGCTGAGATTCAGAGATCTCTGCAAGCTCGCCTCCCATACACCCCACCCTAAAGAACCAAGGGGTAGGGACCTGTCTTCCTTCCAACCCTGTCTCCTCACGTCCTATTCTCTTTCTCTTCCTCCCAATTCTATTTCTAAACCTCTGCTTTGCAATAAACATCATTGACTCTGGATGGAGTTATCTCCTGATGATATGACGTGGGACCTGAAGGCAGGTACACCATCAAAATGAATGGATGTCACATAACCCAATGACCACAGAGAAATACCTATCCTCTGACTTAACGTGGTATCATGTATTTTTTCCACCTGTGAAATGGGCTTGATTCCTGCCTGTCTTACTCTGGCTGTGTGGGAGAAGGAAACAGTAGAGGGCGATACAATTTGGTATTCTTGGGAGTTTCCCACATTATTCACAGCACTGTTAATGCATTTGTTGAAATTCTTTCCTCTAGCCTTCGCCACTCTCAATACGTGGACCTCAGAGCGCAGTGAAGCAGTTGCCTCATGAAGGGCAAGGAGACTCCTGAAGAGA